GGGCCCACTAAAAAAAAAAGACAAAAGGCCAAAAAACAGAGGTTTTTTGACTTTCTTGTTGGGGGGGGGGGCAAAGGGTTTTTTGGAAGGGGTTTTTTTTGCTTACCAATTTTCAAATTTCCCCAAAAGGGGGCCCCACTCAATTTTTTTTTTTGCCACAGGCTTCCGCCTTCTGGTTTTGTTTGGCCCCGTTGTTTTTTCCTTTGGAAAGGGCAATGGTTTTCCGGGGGAAGGCCAACAATTATTTTTTGTTGTTGGAACGGGGCCATTATTGTTTTCTCCTCTTGATTTGGGGGGGGGGGGGGGGAAAAAAAGGGGGATCAAACAAGGGGGTCCCTTTCTCTAAAAACCAAAAGATTTCCTCCGGGACTCAACAGGGGGACCAAAAAACAAAAAACCCTTGGGGGGCTTTCCCGAAATTTCTCGGAAACGTGCGCTTTTTTTTTTTTTTACGGCCTCCCCAAGGGGAACTTTTCCAGCCCCAAAAGGGGGGGGAATTAAGATGAAAAAAAACTTGCAAAATTTTTTTTCAAAAAAAGAAAAAAAAAAAGGTTTGGTCTTTGGGTTTTGGGGGGGGGGCTTTTAAAAAAAAAAATAAAAGGGCATTTGCCAAATTATTTGATTTTGTTTTTTTGGTTTCCCCAAAAATCCTTGGAAAAAAAATTAGTGTTTTCTTTGTGTTCTCTCTCTATGGTGTTATTATAAATAATAAAGGTTTTCCTTGGGGGGATCTGGTGGGTTGTAAAAAAAATAAAGTTTTATTTGTGTTAATGTGGTTGACATTTTTAATGTTGGCCATATCGGGTCTTTTTGGGGCAAAAATCCATGTGTGTGGAAAGTGGTCTTAATATATAAATATATTATGTGTTTTATATATTGGGTGGTGTGTGGGAAAACGTGTTAAAAAAAAAATATTGTGTGTATCAAAAAGGGGAATCCCTGTTTTTACTGGTTAACTTTTTTTTGTGGGGCTTTACTTTATTTTAGTTTTTGGGGGGGGTTCCCCACCACAAAAAAAAAACCATAAATTCCCCCCAGGGGGGGACTTTTTAAAAAAAAAAAAAACCAAAAAAAGGGGGGGCCTTTTGAAAAGGGGGGGGGGGGAAGGTTTGTTTTAAAAAAAAAAGAAAAAAATGTTTCTGGGGGCAAGTGGGGGGGGGGGGGAAATTCATTTCCCCCCCCCCATACCTTAATTCCCATTAATTTTTTAAAGGCTTTTACCCATTTCCAAGGGGGGGGGGGGCCATACCTGTTTTTTAGTAATAAATTTGGTTTTTTTTTCCCAAAATTTTAAAACTTTTTTTTTTTAAAAAAATTTAGTTTTTTTTCCCTAATTTTCAGGGGGGGGAGCCCTGGTTTTGGGGAAAAAAAAAGGGAGGGGTTTTTTGCCTTCTGGGGAGGGTTGGGCTTTGCCCTAAAACCCAGGGGTTTTCAGAAAATTTTTTTGTAATTCAAAAAAAAAAAGGGAAAGGCAATTGGGTTTGCTTGACCTTTAAAAAAAAATTTTTTTTGCTTTATTTTTTTTTGGATTTGCTAAAAAAAAGGGGGAAAAAATTTTTTTGTTTTTTTTGGTTCGGGGGGTCCGGGACCTTTAGTTTTTGGCGTGGGGGCTTTTAAATGTTTGGACCCAAACCTAAAATTTGTTTGTGAGCGGCGGCGCAGGGAACAGCCGGGGGGCGGGGGGCTTATAAAATATTTATTTTATATTAATTATATTTACAAAAAAAAATGTTAAAACCATATTGGTTTTTTACTTTTTTTGGTTTTCTTGGTGGAAATTTAGGGGGGTTTTTAAATGTGTGGGTTTTGCCTTTTGGGGGGACCCCAGAATGTGTTTTTTGGAGTGGGGGTTTAAAAGTTCACTGTTCCAAATGGTTTGGTGGGGGTTTTTTTAAAAATTTGGGGCAAAAAGGCTTTTTGTGGGATGGTTATTAGGGGGCCCCCAAAAAAAAATGGGGGCGGACAGGGGGGAACTGGCAAAGGGGGGGAAACCCCAAAACCAATGGGGGTTGAGGGGGGATGTTGTTTTTTTTTACTTTTTTATAAAAACAAAACTTTTGTTTTCCACAAAACAACCATTTTTAAAATTTGTTTGTTACAATCCCACAAGGCTCTTGTTTGATTTAACATCTGTTGAGGGGGGGGAACCAACACAAAATGTGGGATTAAAAAAAAACAAAAAAAACGTTTCCACAATAATTTGGTTTTTTCCTTTCTATAATTAGGGGGGGTTTGAATTTTGGTGTTTTCTTGGGTTTTATTTATTTTTCCAAAAAAAACCCAACCAAAAAATGCTTTTCAATTAAATTGGTTTTTGGTTTCTTTTTTCATATTCCAGGGGGCCTGGTTTTTTTGCAAAAAACCAAGGGGGGGTTCTTGAAAAAGTTTGGGGGCTTTGGTTTCTTCTAATTTTTTTTTTGCTAAAAAGGCCAAAAGGGGGGGGAAAAAAAAAAAAGGCAATTAAATTTTTTTGGCTTTTTAACCCCCAAACAAAAATTTTTTTGCTATTGATTTTCCACAAAGAAAAAGCCAAACTTTTTGTGTTTTTCTAAAAAAAAAAACGTTTTTAATTTATAATCGGGAAGGGGGGCTAATTTTGACAAGTAACCCATGCTTTCGACAATAAGAGATAAGTTGCTACAGCTCATAATTGCAATCAAAGCATCATAGTTTTGCTTTCTTGTTTCGTCTTCGATGCTTGCTTTATACAGTTTGTGTTAGGTTATGTAGTAGAAGTATGCATCTGTTTTAAGTGCGCAAAAACGCAAATGAATACGCATATTTGGAATGCACAGTTTATTAACCAACAACAAGAGGAAGCATCATTATAATATATGTAGTACCTAAGCCCATTTTTTTAAATGCTCTCGTAAACGCAAAGATTTCCCCTCCATAGTTCTATCTACACCAACAAAAAGTGGCCCCTAGGATTTTTACTTTACAAAAATTGACATTGTTTGCTAAATGAATCAATTAAAATGCAGTGTGATCTAAACAACGTACCACAGACGTAATGGCGTTAATTTATTAATTATAACCAACCATATCACAAAAACATTGTTTTTAAAACAATAAATGGTCCCTTGGCAATGGTTTAACTTATTTGCCACAAAACAAACAAAAAACCGGGTGTTTTTATAAAAAACCGATTTTGTCTTGACTCTAGAGCGCTGGGTAGTCTAAAAAAGCATGAACATAAAATCAAGTTTGCAAACGTTAAAACATACAGTATTTAAAAAGAAACCCATTTTTATGATTTAACTATGTATATTAAACATGTACATTCTATGTGTAAATTCAATATAACAATTTATAACAATGTATTATTTGGTTTTGAGAACAACAATGAGGTGATTCACCAAATAAACTATATTGTTGTTTATCTCAATGTCCCTAATTATACATCCTAAAAGACTGTGCATTGTACATGTTGATTGAAGTACTTCAATCAATCAGGTTAATAGCTGGAGACCAAAAAGGAAATATAACTGACAAAGCAATTAAAGCAAGTAACGCAAAAGAAACAAAAATGAACAATTAGAGGAAAGCTGTTATTGGCCTGCGGTGTAACAGGTGCAGTCATATAAAGTTAATGACAGGTAAATCCTATAAGAGATCGAAAATAATAATGCAAAGTAGGCATGGGCGGTATCATTTTTTTCATACCGTCATACCTTGCTTACATCATACCGTGGTATACGGTATATGACGGTATCAGTCCCAATTTAAGGGGTAATTTCTCCCAAAAAAAAATGTTTTACTCACTATATCAACAGCCCCACCAAAAATATTTTCCACCAGCCGCCACTGACGGTATGACTTGGGTCGACTTGAGTGAGGTGGCGTTCGGCGGCAAATAGATGTTTCGAACGGTATATTATATGTTCGGTGTAAAATGCAGCCCGAGCCGGTAGACGCTCGCAAAGTGCCGCGACGTGCGCGCAAGTGCAAAACAAGGGCTGCATACATGACACATTGTGCAAATGGCACATTTTGAGATCGGATACAGGACGCGTTTGTAGATGTCCGACGTTGTTTCCATAGTGAGCTAAGTTAACAATATATCATCATACATAAACATTTTCCGGGAGTAAATACTTGACTTATTGAATAAAGTTTGCTATATTCACTAACTAGTTTGGCAATATTATTCCGTGCATGTGTTAAAAACCCTTACCCCCCCCCACCTGTTAATCATGTTTTAATCATGTTGTTATTATGTTTATTAATATATTTTGTATACTGTTTTGTACCATTATGGATTATGTGATAAATAAATTAATAAATTAAAAAAAACATTAGTATAACGCTTGGAGGTTCCCCAGGGGCAAATACAGTGCCAGGTGTCAGACTATTTAAACAATGTTTACCCGCGATTCAGACACCTTCCTGGCTTGTAAAAATGGCGGTGATGCACCCTGGAGGATTCAGAGTAATTTAAACAACTTTTCCCCGCCTTTCAAACACGTATCCCTGGGTGTTTTAGCCTGTCCATTGTTGCAGGATATCATTTAACATTGACCCTCTCCTGGAAATGCACAGAATATGTCCATTCCAGGAAAGGGTCAATGTTAAATGATATCCTGCAAAATGGACAAGGCTACGAACTCTCTTCCAGACGTTTTAAAAACACTTTCCCCGACCAATTTAAACAAACTTTTCCCCCGCCCATTTCAAACACCGATATCCCCTGGGTGTTTTAGCCTGTCATTTTGCAGGACCATCATTTAACATTGACCGTCTCCTGGAAATGCACAGAATATGTCATTTCCAGGAGAGGGTCAAGTGTTTAAATGATATCCTGCAAAAATGACAGGCTACAACTCTCTTCCAGACGTTTAAAAACACTTTCTCCCGACCATTTAAAACAACTTTTTCCCCGCCTTCAATACACGTATCCCTGGGTTTTTAGCCTGTCATTTTGCAGGAAATCAATTTAAACTTGACCGTCCCCTCCTGGAAAATGCACAGACTATGTTCATTTCCAGGTAGAGGGTCAATGTAAATGATATCCTCGCAAAATGCAGGCTACAACTCTCTCCAAGACGTTTAAAAACACTTTCCCCCCGACCATTTTAAACAACTTTTCCCCGCCTTTCAACACGTATCCCTGGTGTTTTAGCTGTCATTTCTGCAGGACATCATTTAACATTGACCGTCTTCCTGGAATGCACAGAATACTGTCCCATTTCCAGGAGAGGGTCAATGTAAAGGATATTCCCTGCAAATCGACAAGGCACAACTCTCCTTTCCAGACGCTTTAAAACCACTTTCCCCGCACCATCGTAAACAACTTTTCCTGGCCTTCGTAAAGTGCGGGATGAGCCCTGGTCAGTATCATACTATTTAAAGGGTAACCAGGAGCATGAGTAAATATCCTCCCAAAGAAGGGATGGTGGGTGTCATGAAGAAAGGCCGAATAAAATGGATGCCGATGTGCCTGACGTAAAGCACCTGCAAAATCCACCCCCCATTTAGGGTTACCAGGGGCATGAGTTCTTTAGGTGTGATCATCTGGGTTTAAGTCCGTGGGGAGTGCTTAAGTCCCCGGGGGCCCGGGGACTCCGGTGCCACTGAAGGTTATTGGGAAGTGCTACTGGTTGCCGGAGGTCCTCACGTCCGCCCTTTGGGGCTCTGTCAGCGGCTACACTAGAGGTGGTTTGTCCCGTCCCTCTCCTGGAGGTACTGAAATACCTGAAGCTCCATGTGAGGAGAGTAGGCTGGAGGTCATCGGCCGTCCTTTGGGGCTCTGTCCCAGCGGCTACATAGAGGTGGGTTTTCCCGGTCCCCTCCTCCTGGGAGCGTATGAAATAA